TTGAGATATGAAAGCGAACTAAACAGATAATACAGAGCAAAGAATATACAGACAGTACAGCAAGAAATTTAATTTCATGTCATCAAGCAGTTCAATATCATTGAGAATAAATACATATTTGAGAGCATTTCGTCTTGGTTCTGGAGAGAAAATGTTTACTTATATAGTTTTAAGCAAGAATTTTATATTTAATTCCAAAAATTTAGTTACTACAACACGGAAGTTCGTTAATTCATCGTGTACACTTCATTATTTAACTATAATGTGATTAGAACACTACTTCAATAAGCAGAAATGTAATGAAAACAATACTTTATAGAGAAAAATTGTAAAGAGGACAATCGTATGCAACGAACTTGTATATTTCTTCGTGAACACGAAACTACGAAAAGCATGGCTTAATGTTTGAGTTTATTTATTTAATCGCAATATGTAAAACATGTTTGTTCAATCACAATATTTAAATCCCAAACTTTATATGCGCGAACAGCGGACAGACTTTGAGCCCTAAAGTTGCGGTATAACTTGAACTGTTGTGAAGTCGGTACGGGTAGGCCTGATTTTTACTGTGTATTCTGAACCAGGAAATATATTTTATACCTGTTTTCCGGATAATTTTTTACACGTTAGCACTGTAAATAATACGCACTGAAGATTTTGCGAAAACTTCAGGTTATTTGCCTATGTGCTGTTGGCTAAAAGAACAATCTTTTTATTTAGCGGCCTTTGTGTGCAAGAGCTGCCAGCTGGAAAATTCAAATTTTTTTCAGCGAGACTAGATCTAGACTAAATTGTACCCTGCATTACGAATTGTACATTTATATGTTATAGATTGACATAAAATATTTTGCATTAGGCAACTTAACGAGAGAGAGGATCGATTAGAGAAATATGACACAGAAGTTATGTGATAAATTTGTTGTAAATATGAATTTGATATGTACTTATATGTCCGGTGTATTATGTAATATGAAAATATCACGTACTTTATAATGAAACGTTAATATTAAATAGTAAAATTTTCAAACGGCTTCGTGCAGTCTCAGCGAAATTTCCTACTTCCACTTATGCCGTGTACTTTAAAGGAAGTCTTGCACTTCTACTTCTGATGTACACTTTAGGAGACATCGAGTATTTTTTTATTAAAGATGCGCACTGTGGAAGAAATGGTTTACATTTAATTATGAAGTGTACTTTTGAAAAAAAGCTTGAACTTCGGAAGCGAAAATTTTTGTGTGGCTGCGAATCGTTGTGCTGGAAGTTCGACTGTAATCTGGAGTTCCGAATGACTGAGTAACTTGAAAATTGTTTCCAATATCTTCGGTCATTTTTCTCAATGTATCGAATTTGGAAAATTCGAGGCATCACTCAATTATTCAAATTGATGAAACACGTTGGAAAATTTTCGAGTATAAAGACGAATTTTGCCTTTAGTTTCGTATAATACGAATGAGCGCTGAAATTACTTCAATGAAGTCATCCAAGTCATATGTTAAAGCAATAAATTTTTTTTCAGTGGACGCACGAAATATGTGGTCACTTTAAAACACATTCAAGACCATCAATAATCTTATTAGATCAGCAAAATTTCTTGAACCAATCAGTATTATTTTGCACTAACATTCTTTTAATGTAAAATAACATCTGAAAAAATGGTACAATGTAAACTTTAAAAAGAATGCTACGTAATTTATGAAATAATTTAAAGGCGTAGAACTATACAAACTCCCCACGACAAAAAAATATACCATAAATCAGTAGAAAAATAGAAAGTTGGTCCTAATTATTTAAGCTAATAACATTGTTACCATTAGAGCCGGAAAACTTATTTCCATTTTTCGTGGTTAATCCTGCCATATTTCTTTGTTAGGCTCGCGACTGGCAAAAGTAAGGCAAGGAGCATTGAGATTTACCGTTAAAATTTTCTGTAGTTTGGCCACATTAATATCTTAAATTAGGGATCGCACCAATTTTGGAATTCGGGACTAACTAACGCTCGGCATGCACGAAATTTGGAAATGGAGTACGTGCACTTCATGCCACAGACGTAATGACACGATTTCCAAATTTCGTTGAGCTCAAAATTTGGAAATCTAGTGTGGTCCAAATGAAAATCTAGTGTGGTCCAAATGAAAATCTAGTGTGGTCCAAATGAAAATCTAGTGTGGTCCAAATGAAAAAAAATCATGCCACGAACTATCGCTCGCCACGCACGAAATTTTACTATAGGCTACGTGCACTTCATGCCACGGACTGACGCTTACGATTCTCTCAGGCTCGCTAATTGCATGAAATCCCTCTAGTTTTTTATAGAGTCCATGCGCCGCTATTCTGCGTAAGTGAAATTCAATAAAATTTCTACTCCATTTTCGATTGCCAATTGTCAGCTAAATATATCAGTTTGTAGACAAATCTAACTTAATATTTGCAATAATAGGGGAAAAAAGTTTTTTGTTTATGTACTAAAGTTAGCAGGCGTAATGGATATTTTAATTAATTTTTTCAGTCATTTTTGCTATTTCTACGATTTAACGTCAGGCTTGTCAATATTTTTTTTGCCACTAGCCAGAAATATGACACACTCCTAATAGTTAGGAGCTAAGGGCACCTGAAATTACGATGTCGATTTGAGGTATAGTTCAAGAAAATTGGAACGCTAAAATTCCCGAGAATTTCAAATGAAAAAAATTGCGCGTATAATCAAAATGGATAACAAATTAATTCAAATGATGAAGATTTACAATATGTCATTCCTTAAAATGGGTAACGGAGAACTCATTTTAATGTGTCTTTGGTTTTTGCGCACATTTTAATGTTTGTGTTGAAAACCAAAAATGTGTTTGATTTTTAGAATGCATAAAATTTCATCTCTAAAATTGAAATAATAATCATTCACAATCGTTTGATGAATATTCATATGATAATAATTAAGTACAATAATTATTTATAATAAGAAAGTTGAAGAAGTTTAAAGTTTAAAGAGAGGGCAAATTTTTTCATCTATGCGTAAAAAAATTCTGTGCGGTATTGACGTGCGCAGCTATGAATTCTTTTTCAAAACCATTTAGAAAATGCAAACTACTGAAATTCTTTTAAATAGTGCTTTCCGGTTTTATTCTGAGTCTAAAATATTTGAATAGTTACCGGACTATCACTTCTGTCTCAACAGCAAATTTATTTCATAATAAATTATATTAATTTCAAAATCATGTGTACCAAATCTATCATTCGTATCACAAATCATTTACATCAAAGGCGCAAATTATTCTCATTAGATGTTTTAATCCAAACAAAGAGCCTTAGATAAATCCTGCAGCAAAAAATATTATTCACCGACCTTTGTGACTTATATGAATATCAATATTCTTCTGCATTATGCATATGATTTTCGTGTGATGAGCTTCAACAAAACAGGCAATTAAGCAGGCAATGGCCAAATTATTTTTATTCTGTTTTTCATTTGCTTGTTTCTTCGAAACAAGCAAATATCAAACAGTTCAAACACATTCACGTGAACTCAGCCATCTCATACGCGAGTTAAAAACCTTTATTTAATTGTTGGCAGTGAATTAATTGTGCCCTGTTGTGTTCCGTCATGGATGGTCTGAGGATAAATTAAGTATAGATAATTGAATGGAGAATAGAATATTTTCATGCCAACGTTCATGCTAGTTTAAGAAAGCAATGTATTTTGACGAAAAGATTTACATGCCAACGCTCATACTAGTAGAGGAGAGCGATGTATTCTGAAGAGAAGATTTTCATGCAAACGTTCATACTAGTTGAAGAAAGCAATGTATTATGAAAAGAAAATTTACATGCTAACGCTCATACGATCTAAAGAGAGCAATGTTCTTGGACTTCGCTGTCGCGCTAGCATATTTTGAGGGCTTAATTGTTCAGATATATTTTAATTCTCGGATGAATTCGGCGCAAGAAACCACAACATGCAGCCCATGCAGCTGGATATAGTGTACCGCGTTTTCCTCGGCATTTTTTGGTGAACATTCAAACAGTTTTTTAGTATATTGCTGTTGTTAAATATCTATCACCTGCCTATTAATGCTTTGTGTTTCGGTTTCTACTCGCATCTGCATTTAGAGAAAAAAACTGTTTTTACAGTCGTAAACGCTTTACAGAAGTTCGTCGCGAAGCATCTGATTGCGCTTCATTGTTGCCTTAAGAACCATCTGTAATTATTTTTAACATATAATAATTATTCTGTGATATTTATAAATTTTAAATGATTAAGTGATAGGAATAGCTCAGGCTCTTATTTATCCCAATACCTCTCGTATATACACTTACATTTTTTTATTTGAAACTCACCTCTGAAATCATGACCAGTTAATTCAGTACAAACGATTTACTGTACTTTTTTAAAGTTATTTCTACTTCTGATTTAATCTGGATCCCACTTGTTCGTTAGTGTATTATAAAGTTATATATAAAGTATTAAATGCCTATCAATGAACTGTTGAAAATACCAGAACCACTTCCTTGCTTGGTAAAAGTTTGTTTGGTCTGGAATTCAGACGGCATCGTCTGAATTCAAATATTGGCTTAAAATTCGAAATATTGGCCTTGAAGCAAGCAGGTAATGTGAAGGTATTGGCTTAGCAGCAGACAGCTCATGTGAAGGTATTGGCTTAGCAGCAGGCAGCTCATGTGAAGGTATTGGCTTAGCAGCAGGCAGCTCATGTGAAGGTATTGGCTTAGCAGCAGGCAGCTCATGTGAAGGTATTGATAGGAATAACAACTTAAAAGAAATTGCAAAGTTCATAATAATTCGTTAAGTGCTATTCTGTATATGGAACCTAGTTAATCAACTTGTAATAGAACAACTAACGCTGAATTGTTTCTTTCTCACATTTAAAAAACCTATTATTTTACCGACCCATTAAACCCTTTTAGTTTAACTACCCTTTAAAAGCTATTAATTGAACGATTTTTCAAAACCCATTTAATTAACATTTATTTTTTTCTCCTCGACAGCTTTAAGTTCTCTGGCTGAGAATTATGCATGTGTAGCGTGATTCATGCCGCTCGAATAAATATAAATAGAACTTTATTGATTTCATTACAATCTATTTAGTTGTTAGTTGACAATTTAGAGTTGAATTTAAGAATCGAGCAAGTGAGTGATAGTTAAGTTGTGATTCAAACTCTCGCCGTGGAAAATCGACTACCCTCACATTTTAGGTAAGTACAATTTTTAATCTATGTTTGTGGAAAAATAGTTCAATTTTCAGTTTTGTATAACATATGTTTGATAAAATTTAATTATTAAAATTTCTGCTTTCATTATCAACGATGAGGAAATGCTAAGAAAATAAATAAGATGTTCTAAGGGGTCAGTTTATTTAAAGGAATTTTTCCATTAGATCCAAACTTTGAATTTGATCCAAACTTTTTACATGATATTAAACCTATCCTGCCTAGCCTGGCACTTAGCCAAGCTTTTACCTAATGATAAGATACTGCTAATCTCTGATGTGTATGCCAGAGGCGACCAAGCCTCCCATGTTTTATTTTGAGCTTGAGATTTTAAATTTTTTGGAAGATTCTGAGCTTAAAAAGGAAATATTCAAATAAACTTTCGATATTTATTTAAAATGAGACATATTCCTAAAACGGCTTACCAAATATAGAGATTTATATCATCTAGGTGCATAATTTTCCTCGAAAAGAAAATGATCGATAAAAAGTATCGATAATAGGGGCAACAACTATCATCAGAAATATACAGTGAATAATCAATGAAATTGAACCAGTTGTCATTTTTGCACATTTTATCAAAGGTATACTGTTTTTCATTTGAATACTTTATATTTTTCTTTATAAGAGTACAATTATATGTATAAGGTGATCTCCAAACTACAATAAAATATCGTACCTTGTATTTTATCTACAGTATTTTTATCTACAGTATTTTGATCTACGGTATTGTAACAAATTCGCAAATTGGTAACAAATAATAAAACGCAACGCGGTGAACTTTTGGGAGAATTATGCTCGGCCACGCATGACACGCCTTTGATTTCAATCGAGGAAACTAGCCTCTAGCAAACTTCGCTCAGCAATCGAGAAATTGAATATTTTATATTTTAAAGTAAGTTTGAGCTAAAATCCAGGTTGTTGAACTGCCTGAGGTCAATGAGTACGGCCGTACAAAAAGAACTGGAACAGCTATATGTGAAGAAATGCTGCTGGCGTCTCACTGCCTTTGAATTTCGAAAAAAAATATTTTAACATAACTTGGAGACTCTGATCCCTGGAAAATTTCAACGGTGACTAATTGACAGCAGAAATTGTGATAAAAATTTGACTGCAGAAATTGTGATAAAAAATTGACTGCAAAAATTGTGATAAAAAGAATATTCTAGTTTGGTGAATGGATTATCAAAGGCCGACCATTGACCGACGCTTATTCGGCTGATAATTGTCAATAGGGGCAAGGTAGATTAGCTGACGCTTCTGTCGCTGGAAAAAAATACTGCTGCCATATTATTTAATAATTACATGAAAAATAATAAATATTTTGACAACGATAGAATTCATAGAGTTTACATTTTCCCAAATAATAAAAAGGACCATCTTTCGAAGCGGAACATGTAGCTTTTTCACAAACATTTAAATTGAATTCAGCAAAGTACAAAGAATGAACGACTAGAATTGCTCAACTCCTTAAAATACTCAGACTAGAGTTAATTTTGCTGGCGAAACATACGCTGGTATAAGTTAATTTTAAGAGCGATTCTTCACCATAATGTATTTCTAGGTATTCATATTCATTTTTAACCTTTATTCGCACAGTGATTGTGGGTTAAACCAACCCATAAAATTTTGTCAGTGGAAGTGTCGATCCAATTGCCAATTAAGCGCAGCAGGGCACGTTTTAATTCACTTTATTCATTTAATTCACGCTGGAATATGAGTAGCAAAACTTCCCGTTTGATTCATCTCGCTAATAGGCGAGTGAGGCGTGGATGTTCGAATAGTTTATTAATATTTTAACGGGGGGTTTTATTAGTCAGAATTGGCAAGGTTTGATTCGTATGCAGCATAAAAAGAATGTAAAACAGAAACAATATGAGCATTGTAAAGCAGTATTGCACAATGATGATCGCTATAATGATCTTTCATCTCGCCATTGATGATATTCATTTAAATCAAAATCTTGCAACAAGCAATCGGTAACAAATTAAATGCAATGCTATTAATTCCTACCAAATTCTTGCATCTACTGAGCGGTAGAAGGTTAAACGCAATGTTATTCCTACCAAAGTCTTGCACCTATTGAGCGGTAGAATGTTAAGCGGAGTGCTATTCCTACCAAAATTTTGCTTCAACCGAGCAGTACTGTCAGAAAAATGAATGTGTCATATCGTCTAAAAAGCGATATACTTTCTGCACGTGATACACTTTTGCTTGACCAAACTGGGTCAAAGCAACACACATAAAAGTAAAATTTGCAGCGCTATTTGGACAAAGTCTCGCTCATTTTTCTGCGTGTATAAGTTTAAAGAGAGAAAGAAGCGTCGACTTCAAAGCCGCATTTTAAGGCGAATAATTTCCTTACATAATGAGACCTGCTCGGGGCAAACGGAATTAGAGATGACAAATGAATTGTATGTATCACTTAGAAGAATGAGTGGTTCAGACTGTCCAGTTAGTGACACACTTTCTGACCCACAGCGCGAGCAGAGAGCGGTGGCGTTCCTGATACGCACTTCAGCCGAGCCAAACTGGATCAAAATGACCCACTTAAAGGCAAAAGTGCATCGATATTAGGACAAATGATCGCTCATTTGTCTCAGTTCATGAGCGGTTCGCGCTGAGGTGTGGATGTAGAAGAGCTGGATGCTGATTAATGGAGATGATAAATAGATGGCTTCCAAATCGTGGATGAAAATAAATTTCCTTCTGAAAGACGGTGATATTCAAGAGATTGAATTAGAATAATATGGATGGGATAGCTGGTTTTGACAGAGGATTGAAATGGACTTGAATGAAAAATTTTTCTTGAAGAAATTTTTCTTGAATGAAAAATGCTGCTTTTATTTGACAGGGAACGCGGTAAAAATGGCTTATAAAATTGGGAGTGAAACGCCGGTTTCTGGAGGAAGATGTGAAAGAAGTAAATATATTTTGAAAAAATTTAAAAATACAACAATTCACTGAAAACTTTTAATGCAGTGCTCTTTTCTTTTTCAAACTCAATGAATTAAAACATGGTACTATATACATTACTACAAACTATGTATGTGTCTCCATGTATGTTAGCACGAGATTTTAAATTTCAAAACAGCTTTGAAATTTATATTTCTACAAACATTTAATTACTCTATTTTTGATGCCATGCTAGACAAACCAAGTAACGAACTAAATTAAATTCCAGAAGCGTACGCGGATTCCAGCTTAATTAACTTGAACACAGAGCGGGAAATGCCCCCCAGGGTGGCCCACAAAGTTCAAACTTTGTGATGGTTTTACGGACGCGCACTCAAAGAAATTAATGAGTCAAAATTGTGACACATTTTCTGCATGTAAGACTTATACGAACTTTTTCTGGAAAAATTGAGTCCTGATGATCCCGCAAAATAGGGACCATATACATCTTTTTTAGGAAAAAAATTCACTTATTCACTCAAACGAAGCACGCTTATTCATGTATGTCATGATTATCATGAATAGAAATGATAACTCTTGAAGATAAATATTGACACTAAAATTACATGCGAAAAGTCAATAATGAATTCTATGGAACAAAACTTGTCCTGTGATAAAAATTGATAGCTCAAAGAAAAGTATATCACGCATACGCATAAACAATGTCGCAGAGAGAGAAAAGGAATGATTAACGGAATGATTCGTGAATGAAATTAAAGATTATGAAATTAAAGATTAATGATTAAAGGAATGATTCGTGAATGGAATTCATCTGTAGTTTTCATCTTAACCAAAGTGGGAAAAATTTTAAAGTTGATTAACAAACTATGAACTATGAAGCGCGTTCATAATTTTGAAATAAACCTTTAAGATTGAAAAGGGTGAATGTTAAAATTTTTATTTTCAAGATTCAATTTTTCAATTTCAATTTCAATTTTTTCAAGACTTTATTAAGTGTAAAAAAACAGGTTTAAGAAAGCGTGTAAATGTTAAGGAATTTAGAACCATAAAACACGTTCCAAATTTAATGGAATAAACGGAGTTTAGGAAAGCGGTAAATATTAAGTCATTTTGAACCTGAAAACACGTTTAGAATTAAAAAGAACTGAGTTTAGGAAAGCGGGTAAACGTTAAGAAATTTTAAACTTTAAAACACGCTCATAATTAAAAAAAATGAGCTAAGGAAAGTGGGTAAATGTTAAGGAATTTGAATTTTAAAGCACGTTCTTAGTTAAAAAAACGAAGTTAAGGAAAACAGGTAAATGTTAAGAAATTTTAAACTTTAAAACACGTTCTTAATTAAAAAAAACGAAGTTTAGGATAGCGGGTAAATGTTCAGAAATTTTGAACCTAAAAACACGTTCCTTATTTAAAAAAGAAACTAAGTTAGGGAAAGCGTGTAAATGTTAAGTAATTTTGAACCTTAAAACACGTTCCTAATTAAAATTTGAACCTTAAAACACGTTCCTAATTAAAATTTGAACCTTAAAACACGTTCCTAATTAAAAAAACGAAGTTAAGGAAAGCGGAGGATGAAGTGGAGTAGCGGCGGTCACGACAACAACGGCGGGTTATTTCAGTAGCCTTTTGTTTACACTTGACCAGCGCACGGCTGGTTGCACCTCAGTGTACTTATCATCACACCTACATCACATCAAGTACTGGCATCACACTTCATCCATCACATCAAGTACTGGCATCACACTTCATCCATCACGTCAAGTACTGGCATCACACTTCATCCAGATCCCCAGCAACACTCATCACTTACCCTACAGCGAGACGAGTAACCACACCACGATTCATCATCACTCATAACTACATCATCACTATCATAACACGTGCCCGCATCGCTGCTTCTTCATCACAGTGCGAGACTACATCACAACATCTTGCATCACAGCTACACATATTACTTATTCATCTAGGTACATCATCGTACCACGCTTCCTTCATCACTTCATATACGTAAATTCATCACATCACACCACGTAGCTTCATCACACATCATGCACCTCACCACATCACCA